TGGACAAAATACCGTAAAGAATTTGGCAAAGGATGTTTTTTTTTTTTTGTTTCATTATTTTATTATTCATCGAAAATTTTCTGCAAACTGGTTGTGTGAAAAAAAAATAAAATAGAATTCTGTTGGTGGTGTAGTGTACATAGATCCTTACAAACCCCCATGTCTGCTGTTCAGGCAGACGGTGATTTTTAGCATGAATTCCAAAGATGATTGGTAGAAGCTGTTTACTTGTTTTCTTTGACATCCCGCTCCCAAACGAACTGAAATTGACTGAACATTTCATCTTTTTTCACGGTTCATCTAGTACAAAGACGATTGCCTTGAAAATATGTCTTTGCAAGAGAGAATCTAGTTGTTATCCTAAATGTTGGTATATTTATATAGGATAAAATGCTTGTGATGCCATGTTTTTGTACAGTTTTATGTACATACATGTGAAGCTTTCTAAAAGTTCTGAGAAAAGCCGATGGCATATAAAAATTGTAACATGTTTTATTGAGATGTGCACATCTTGCCTTGGTTGGATTGACCTTTGCTGAGTCAGTGTGAATGTGGCCGTTCTATGCCTGCACTGTAGTCATTCACCGGCTCCCACCTCCTGAGGACTTACTCAGTTTTTCCGTTTATTGTGAACAGTGGATTGTCTTATCTTTCCAGTTTGTTAAACTCCTGTGTTCTGCTTTGTTCTATTTCCGCATGTTGACAAATTATCTTGTAATACTGTAAGTCCTCATGAACTTTGTAATAAAATCACTTCAGGGAAATAAAAAAAACCTGAATGCTGTCAGTGTTTTCTTTGATTTCTATTATTATTCATCACTTTGGACTGTTTGGTTGTTACATTAAGAGGTTTGCAGCCTCAGAGCTATATTGTGTGAAATGTGTCTTGCTTTACAGCTAATTAAGAAGAACCAGTATTCTTGTCTCTCAGAGACCAGAGCCTCATTTTGGATTCAGAAATCCTCAGAAACAAGCGTTTCAGGGCTCAAAGTGGAGGAGCCCCTGGACCTTTTTTTTTTCATCATGTTTTCTTTAACTGTGAGTGCATTGTGCCTAAAGTACACAAAACCAATCATGCTTTTAGTTTAATAGACAACATTCCAGCACAGATGAGCTGCATGCCTTTTAACAAGCCTTTACACGGTCTTGCYATGCCAATTCTGAGACGTCTATGTGCCTTTGCTTAAAGTCAGAGAGAATTGAATCTACTAAATTAGCAATTATTTGCAGTTTGAAGCATTCAGGGAAAAAAAGGCAGTGCATGGAGTGTCTGAATGTTTATGTTCAAACTTCATTCACCCAGTAATTTCTAGTAAGTAATTGTGTGAAGCTAAGTAGAATGATTTAACATGAGTGACTWAACAGTTTAAGAGATTGTTCACAAACAGAGGTTCAAGATCTCAGTCCTGAATAGTTCCTCTTCAATGAGTGTAAGCATCAGACAACGTGACGTGTCTGTTAAAGACATGCCAATTAAAGGCATGTAACTCCTTAAATGAAAACCTGATATCCACTGCCTTTCAGACCACGTGTTAAAATGCTAATGTTCAGACATTGCCATTTTGGTCAAAATTTGAAAAACATTTTATGCAATATTACAAGATGTCACACTCAGAAGATAGCTTGGTAATGACAGCCACTGAGAAAGCAAACTTTAGCTCAACATTTAATTAAAAGACTTTATAATTTATTTAAAAAACTATGTACACTAAAGGAAAACAAATACAAATCCCAAATGAAATGAAATGCAGAAGAGTAGTATTACAAAGCATGTTATAAAAAAAACTTCTTATATGTAAAAGTAAGTGGAATTATAGCCATTTTTCTAATGGTTAGTGCTGATTAGCTATTTTGCTAACAMACAAGTAAGCTCTAAAATAGTTAATAGCAAAATTTAAAACAAAAAAAATCTTCTGCAATCAGTTAGCACTCAGAATAGGTGTACAAAATCAACCTCCCACTCCTAATTTTGTGAAAATGTTGTTAGTATTTTTAGTGTGATTTTACTCCTAACTTTAATTGGTTGTGAATGTGGATCCCAAAAACTGTTTATTTTTTTTTCTGTAATTTGTTCAATGGTTAATGACATTGTTTGATAACAAACAGATAATCAAGCATACACATACTGTACACATCAATGATTTTGTGTTTTTTTTATTTTTAGTTTTTGGTCAAGAAAGGGTTAAACTATTTACATA